GCCCAAAGCTAATTATGGCTTAGGGTTTGTTATTTACTTTGTTATTTTAGTGTATATAAATAGACACTTTGTAGTCTAGTTTTATTAACTGAATAATATCAATCCTTGTTTCTTTATTTTCTCTCTTTCTCTCCTCACTAAAAGTGCCTCACGCACTAACAAATTGGCATCTAAAGCCTAGTTAGATTCTTGATTGTGTTTTCAAGAATCACATGTCAGAGATCGTGTTTCTGGGATAGTGGGTTATTGTTGATCAATCACCATAAAGATGAATGGTAACAAAAATTTACCAAACTCCTTTCCAACTCTTGACGACAAGAATTGGCTCCGATGGAGAAAAAAAATGCAATCTATATTTGGCTTTCATGAAACCCTAGAAGTGGTTATGAATGACGTTCCTGCGCTTGGTGAAGATGCAACCGACGCACAAAGAACTGCTCACAAGGAGGCTAATAAGAAGGATTTCAAGACGACGTTCTACATCCAATCGGCGGTTCATATGGATAATTTCGACAGAATCGCTAATGCTGAATCGGAGAGAGAGGCGTGGGATATTCTTGTCAAGTACTGTGAAAGAGGCGAGAAAGTTAAGGTTGTCAAGTTACAAACTTTGCGACGGCAATATGAAGTGTTGTCAACGGGAGAAGATGAAAAGATTGCAAGCTATGTGTCAAAGGTGCAAGAACTCATCCATCTCACGAAGGGTTGTGGTGAAATCCTAACTGATAAGATGATAGTCGAGAAGGTAATGCGTATGTTGACCTCTCATTTTGATCACATTATCGTAGTTATTCAAGAATCCAACAATCTTGAAACCCTAAAACTGGAGGTTTGGTTGGTACGTTGAAAGCGCATGAAATTAGGATTGTCAAAAGGAAATGATTTCAAGACTTGATAAAAGCACTACAGGCTCAATTGTGGAAGAAGAATGGTGGTTCCAACAAGTTCAAAGGAATGGTGGCTCAATTGATGATAGAAATTCTAAATCCTCTAAAAGAGGAGAAGGAAATTCCTATCAGAAAGACAAAGTAGAAAAAATGGTGTGCAATGCTATAACTGTGAAAATTGGGGTCACTTGGCCATGCATTGTTGGTACAGGAAAGACAAGGGTTCGACAAAAGACAAGGACGAAGGAGTAACCTTTCACGTCAAGATTCAAATGATTATGATGATATGGTGATTATGGCTGCAGTTACAAATGACCATGTCGAATCAAAGATTTGGTTCCTCGACTCAGGCTGCTAAAATCACATGACTGGTCGAAAAGTATGGTTAGTAGATTTTGATGAGACGAAGAAGAGCAAGGTCAAACTTGCTGATAATAGCTTGTTGCAAGTAGAAGGTACTGAAAACATAGTTATTTAAAGGAGTAATGGAGCAAAAGCCTTGTCCAAAGATGTACTCTATGTCCCTGGAACAAAGTGCAATCTGCTAAGTGTTAGGCAACTGGTCGAAAAGGGGTTCTCAGTGGTTATGAAAGATGGAGCCTTAGAACTTTTTGACATCCAGAATAACTTGGTCTTGAAATCTCCTCTGTCGAAGAATATAACATTTAAGACCATGATCAATTCGACTGATGTAAAATGTATAAAAACAGTTGTTGACCACAAGAATAGTTGGTTGTGGCATCTGAAGTTTGGCAATCTGAACTTTAGGTCACTAAATCAACTGATCACTCAAGATATGATAATTGGTGGAAACAGGTACTTCGTCTCATTTGTTGATGAGTATAGTCGAAATCTATGGATCTATGTGATCAAACAAAAGGATGAAGTATTTGAAATATTTAAGAGATTTAAGATACTTGTTGAAAACCAGGGTGAAAAGAAAATTAAAGTTCAATGAACATATGGAGGTGGCAAATATACATCCAAGATATTTGAATCATTTTATGCAAAACATAATATTGATCATGAGATAACTGTTCTTTATACTCCTCAACATAATGGAATAGTAGAAAGAAGAAACAAGACCATATTTGACATGATGATATGCATGCTGAAGCAGAAGAATTTGCCAAATTCCTTATGGAGTTAAGCTGTTTCAACTGCTGTTTATATTCTGAACATGTGCCCTACCAAGAAGTTGAAGAACAAGGTTCCTGAAGAAGTAAGGAATGGCAAACGACCATTAGCGAATCATCTGAAGGTGTTTGGCTCTATCTGTTACAAGCATATTCCTGATGCTAGGAAAAGGAAGCTTGATGATAAGAGTGAATCTACGATTCTGGTAGGATATCATAAGACTGAAGCATACAGGCTATGATATCCAATTGATCAGAAGATTGTGATGAGTCGAGACATTGTGATTGATGAAAATATTTCCTGGGATTGGAATTCTAGTAATGCAATTGACAAGTCACTTAGGAGCTATGATTTCGATGAAGCAAGTAATGATATTGAAGACATTGTTGATACTCCAGTCAAAGAAGAAGGTGAAGTAGTTGCTGACACTCTCGACACAATCGAAGTTGAAGAAGATATGGGTGGCACAAGTCATAGACCTCAACGAACTAAAGCTCATCCAACAAGACTTCAAGACTATGAAGTTGTTGGTGATGATAAAGTCACAATAGATGGGGAACTAATCAACTATAACGAAGCCTTCAAAGATAAACAATGGAAGTCTGCTATGGTCGAAGAGTTACAAGCAATTGAAAAAAACAACACATGGGAGTTGGTTGAATTTCTAGCTTATACAAAAGCTATAGAAGTAAAATGGGTGTTCAAGTTGAAGCACAATATTGATGGGTCGATAGCAAGGCACAAGACTGGATTGGTAGCTCGGGGATCTCTCCAGAGAGCAGGACTCGACTACTCTGAAGTATTTGCACCTGTTGCAAGATTGAAAATTATTTGACTAGTGGTGGCCTTAGCATGCAAGTAAGGCTAGTCAACATTTCACTTAGATGTGAAATCGACATTTTTGAATGGACCTTTAGATAAAGAAATGTATGCCAACAACCTCATGGGTTTGTGATTTAGGAGATAGCAAGTAAAGTATACAAGTTGCACAAAGCGCTCTATGGTCTCAAGTAGGCACATAGGGTATGAAACATGAAGATCGACTCATACTTGGTTGAATTGGGATTCGTAAAATGAAAATATGAGTATGGTGTCTATGTTCAGATTGTGGCACAAGATATAACAATAATCTGCTTATATGTCGATGACTTACTAGTAACTGGAAATAGTTTGAAGAACTTGTCGAGGTTCAAAGAGCTGATGAAGAAGGAATTGAAATGTCGGATCTGGGAAAATTGTCATACTTTCTAGGCATGGAATTTCAAATGTCGAAGTAAGGCATGACGCTATATCAAAGAAAGTATGTCAAAGAGATACTCAAGAGATTCAGAAGGGATGATTCGACTCCTGCATCTTCGCCCATCGAACCAAATTTAAAGTTGCAGAAGCATGGAGAGGAAGATAAAGTCGATGCAACTTTGTTCAAATAAGTTGTTAGATATCTGTGATATGTGTGCAACAATCGACCTGATATACGTTTCTCAGTCAGATTAGTGAGCAGATACATAAACCAAGGGTGTCACACATGAAGGCTGCAAGAAGAATCATGAGATACTTAAAAGGATTGACAAACTATGGAATTTTATTTCGACAAGAGTCTGAAAGCAAAGAAGCTATGATTACTTTTTATTCAGATGCTGACTGGTGCAGAGATAAGGAAGATCGAAGAAACATTACTGGATATTTCTTTCAAGTATTTGATGCTCCAATTTCACGGTGCTCGAGAAAGCAATCAGTGGTGACATTATCATAGTGTGAGACTGAATATATAGCATAATCCTATGCTACGTGTCAAACAATTTGGATCAAATCTGTGCTTGAACAAATGAAGGTCGAAGTGAAGAAATCTATGGTACTGCAGATCGACAACAAATCAGTCATAAATCTGGCGAAGAATCCAATTTTGCATGGAAGAAATAAGCACATCGAAGCTAGATTTCGCTTCTTAAGGGTGAAGGTGAATAGAGGTGAACTTGAAGTAAGACTTTGCTCAAGCGAAACACAATTGGCCGATACTTTCACCAAAGGATTAAAGATCGACGAGTTCCTAACTTTGAGAAAGAAATTATGAATAGTTCGACAACTTGGATTATAGAGGGGTATGTTGAGATATTAGATATAATCCAAATTGTATTATGTGGTCCAATGTCAAAACTAATTAGGGTTTATGATTTGTCATTTAGTTTGTTATTTTAGTGTATATAAATAGGCACTTTGTAATTCAGTTTTATTAATTCAATAATATCAATTCTTGTTTTTTTTTTATTTTCTCTCTTTCTCTCCTCACTAAAAGTGCCTCACGCACTAACCATTTTGAGAGAGTTTTAGAAAAAACTTTATTTTTGTAACAAATGTGAAAAAAGAAGGGTTCTGACGCGTTATGTACAAGCAGTGCCAAAAAATACATCTCCGTAATGTTTACAAAGATGCAATCTCGATAGTTTTTTCACATTAAATCAAGCTTCTGTTGACATAGAGTGCGTCTAGAGACGCATCTCCGAATTCTAGAAACATTTTTGTATTTTTGCATAGTGTCATAGTAATATATATAGTGCATTAAAAAATTCCTATTTTTTATAATATAGGTTAAGAGTTTTATACAGAACTTCCACATTTTACAAATATTTATAAAGTATAGGTAATCTTTTTTATGCTCTAAAGAATATATAAATTTTTATTTTTAGGAAGGACGTAGTCTTTTTGGAGTGTGGTGTATCCTTAGGGGTATAGAGATTTTGCAAATGGAGTGAGCAATCACAAGATTACTTGATTAAAGAGTATTTTGTTGTTAAGATTAATGAATTAATATTTGAGGATGAATGATGGATTGACAATGACGTCTCCCACCATGTCAATTTTGAAAATAATACTGTATTACTGGGAGATATTTACATCACTAATGTTGTTGAAACAGGAAAGGTGGAGCTTAATCTCACATTTTAAAAGACTTTAATTTTTAAAGATGTTACATTCATTTCACTTTTCAAAAAGATTTAAACTGAGATTTAGATTTTGTCGCTTATGTTGTTGACCGTTGATAGTTTTTGCAACTGCTTTAGCTAATACCACAGTGAAGTCAGGATCTTTGATTAGCAAACTCGCATATTCTTCAATCTTGATATGCTTTTCACAGCCAAACTGTTGTTGCATAACATTATCAAAAACTCTAGTGTTTATGGCTTCTTGTCCACTTAGTATTGTTGATAGTTTATTATAAGTAGATATTGATGAATCATTGAGTGTGGATGAAGATGGTTTGAACGAGTCATTAGAGACACCGTGATTGTGTTCTCCATCATAAGTTGCAACAATGATAGACTTATCATTTAAGCATTTTTGCACCTAAATAAATAGTCAGTAAATTAAAGTTAGAGTATTTTTCAAGTACACAATTTTAAAAAATGAATTTCCTACGTGCTTATGAAATTGAATCAAATGCATTCACGCATTTCAGTTATTAATGATCGTTTGATCAAGATCTGATGGTTTAGTAAAATAGATATTTAAATTTTATTTTTAATTCAAAATATCAAACTTAAATTTGAGTCATCTGATCTTTGATTAAACAATTACTAATACTTTTAATGCGTGAATGTCTGGTTTGCTGACGGTAGAGAAACTCAATTCATATAAATACCTTCTTCTTTACAGGACAACTAGGAGCCATAGAGCACCTAAAGTAAGCTCTAGGAGAAGCATTATCTTTGGTAACTTTCTGTCCATACTTTCTCCATTGATAGCCATCTTTTATTATCTATATTCACAAAGCAAAATTCGTATAAACATATACTAATATTGATACACAAAAAATGAGTGTTAATGATGCATACTTACCAAACTTTCATCATTAGGATGAGTTTTAACAAATACTTGTAATGGTTTTTTGGCTGTTGGAAAGTGCTCTAGTCTTGCTCTTTTGCTTGTATCAAAGTTAGGTAATAACCCAATTTGATTCGAACTTATGATCTCATTGTGTTCTTCTTTGTTGATCTCTTGTTGTAAATTTGTGCACTTAATACTCATAACTTCAAGCATGAGCCTTAGAGTATTGTTCTCCTCTCTCACTTGTTGTAACTCCAATTCAAGAGTTTTCACCTGAACAAATCAAGATTGTTAACTAAGAGCGTTTAGAACTTGCATGCATTTTTTCCTAATAAAAGTTAAAAGATGTTTAAAATAAATTACTCTACTATGAACCATTACCTTTTCATCCATTATAATAGCTATTTGAATTGTTGAACAACCTTCAAGTAGTGATGAAAATATTTTCTCTTATTATATTGGTTACATATACAAGAGTGATGTAAGCTAATAAAATATTTAACAAATAATGGAGAACGTGCCCTTATTTATATAAAATTTTGAGTATAATTAGAAAATATTGTCGTGTCTAAACCGTGTAGGGTCTTTTCTGTTCTTTTGTTGAATTGTGTAGGGTCTTTCTTATTAGTTACTGTGTTCAATTCAAATCACGTGTTAGAAAAATCCAACAAACAAATAATACTATTATGTAGTATGATATGATCTCATCTTAATGACATAAGTTATTGAAATGAAGTTTTGTTTAAACTTTTCAATTTATTTAATGTCCTCAACGTGTTTGGAAATAAAGTTTAGTTTAACAAGTCTTTGTTTGTTTTGGCATTATTAGATAATGATTATTCTATACACATCTAGTAGTACTCAGAGAAACTGTGTTTTAAAAACTGGACTGGTCATTGAACCAGTGAGGATATTGGGTCACTGGTTTATCGGTTGAACCACTGGGTCACTGGTCGAACCGCATGACTAAATCGGATTAAACCGGATAACTCGGTTGAATAGACCTGTCATTATATAGATATAAAACCGGTCGAACCGGATAATTCAGTTTCTAAAAAAATATAACTAGTACTTAAATGTTTTGAAAATATCATATTATAAATTCATAAGTTTATAATTTAAATTTAAATTTTAAACAAATGTATTATAAATAACAAAATAATACAAAATTACAAAATAATTGCAGTATAATCTAATTTTAAACATTGTTTTTTAATTTTTATAACTTTTGTATTTAAATTTTAATTAAAAAATAAAAAATGTATTAGAACCGGTCCAACCCTAAATGCGGTTTTTCCCGGTCCAACCCAGTTTTTTCTCGGTTTTTATTGATTTGATGACACAGACGATCGAACTAGTAAACCAGACCGGTTATTAGGCCGATTCCCGGTCCAACCAATTCGATCTGCCGATCCGGTCCTATTTTTAAAACACTGCTCAGAAACAAATAAACAAATATTAATGATCATGTTAATGTCATGATCATATTGGTAGTGGAGATGGGAACATAATAATACAATAAGCGGCGGAAAATAGTAAAGATTTTAAAGAAAGTCTTTTGTTTACACTCAAAATTGATTATTCATTAGTCATTTTTAAATAAGCTCACGTTTGCATCAGTCTACTACGTAAAAATAGAATGTAATCCTTAGACGTAACTCGCATTTAAAAATTAACATCAGCAATAATTGAGGTATTTTAAAGCTTTACTATATTATTTTTTACAACTACTGTGTTAGATTTAGATTTTAACTAATAGTATTTTGTTAAATATAAAAAACTTTGCTAAAAAAACAAAGGAATGTATACGTTTTTCTTTAAAGTGCTGTTATATAAATAAAATAAAGTTTTAAAAGGTTTTTAAATAAATTTATAATATTTTATAAAAAAACATTATAAATCAATTAAAATAAAATAAAATAAATTATCCACTTTAACAATATTTTTATAAAAAATGTTAGAAAATTTTCTGAACTACGTCGAGACCTGCTCCTTAGCCGGGCAAGTCCAACTCAATGCTGCGTTGGGGAGGTCCAGCAAAGCCCAATCCTCCCATGTCGGGCACACTTACACTTCTCAACAAGGTCCCTCAGTCGGGTAGACCACTACTTGACACGAGGAGAGTCCACGCGCTTTTTTCACGTTCTCCACGTGTCCTCTACGCAGGGACACGCCATCAGGCAACTACCCACTTCTGAAAGAGATGGTTAACCCACCTTCTGAATATCATAGGACAATTGATCCAGGGCGAAGACCACATGCTGGTCTTCACTACGCCACGTAATCCCTAACAATTACTTGTGTTGGGCTTGACAATCTGGTCCAATGCAATGTAACCGTTGATCCTACGCTGAAGGTACATTATAAATACCCTATTTCACTAGAGGGTTAGGTATCTTATTTCTCTACACATTTTCTCTGTACTTGCTCTTTCTAAAACTCAGTTACTCACTTAAGCATCAGAGTACCTTGCAGATACACCCCTTCTTCCTCTACAACGCCGATGAACATAGCAGATCACGACGCGTGGCAAACTACTGATTCCTTTATGATAAGTTGAGATCAGTGGCGCCGTCTGTGGGAATCCTTTACTTCCCCTTTCTTTCTCCTATCCAAGCGTAGAAGCTCAAGAACCAAAGCAACTCCCAACTTCCATTCTGATCATAGCCAGCCCACGCACGACAATGCTCCGGAAACCGCCTTCGTCCCCTTCGCCAATAGGGATGACCACGACCCCAACGTGACCGTCCGCAACGACGAGGGAGACTACAGGGACGAGCGCATTGCCTCTCCCTCCTCGGAGGGCGCGACCTTCAACGTCGCCCAACGCTTCGACAACCCGACTGTCTACCAACCCATCCCGGTGCCAGCAGGTGCCGCCCCTACCATGGTGGCTCTGTTCGCGGCGATCAACCAAACCAACCTGATGATCTTCCAATAGAATGAGCGAATAGGGATGCTCGAGAGGGAGTGACCATCACGCTCTCCTCCGTAGAGACATTGTCGCCTATTTTCTTGTAGCCCTCTCCTCCCTCGCGGAGGACACAACACGTCGACGATTCTCAGAGCTCTTCTCCCCGACCGACTAGGCGTCACCCTCGTTTGGAGTGACCACAACCGATGACTTCCTAGAAGCACGACCGGTCACCTCCCTAGAAGGAACGATGCTCCCCAGCTCAGAATCAAAATCTATCATTTTAGTGTAGGTGTGAAGGCATCTTTCATGGAGGTTGCTGCCCAATTCTTGGCATGCAATAAGGGACTATTACCTTTTAAATTTCTTGGTCTTTATGTACCTGAAAGCCATAGAAGGATTCATTTTTGGAAGCCCGTGGTTGATTGTTTTAAATCTAAGCTTTTGTCATGGAAAGGAAATTTGCTTTCAATTGGTGGTAGGGTGACACTTGTCACACTATGCCAAAAAAGGAATATAGCAGCGCTTTTTTTGGCCTTTAGCAGCGCTTAAAAGCGCTGCCTAAAGTGGCGCTACTATAGGTAAAGGCAGCGCTTTTTTTGGGGGGAAAGCGCTGCTATAGGTCCCCTTTTAGCAATGCTTTTTCTCTCCCTTTTAGCAACGTTTTTCTTTTCCTTTAGCCGCGCTTTTCCTCCCCCTTTTTAGCAACACTTTTAAAAGCACTCTCTAAAGTCCATTTTCCTAAGACCTTTAGCAACGCTTCCCCCCCTCCCCTTTTAGCAGTGCTTTCAAAAGCGCTCTCTTTAGCACACCTATAGCAGCACTTTTTAAAAAAGCTCTCTTTTCCCTACCTTTAGCAGTGCTTTTCCTTTAAAAGCGTTGTCTTTTCTCACATCATTGGTTTTTTCCCAAGATCACTTTTTTTTGGCAAAAAGCGTTGTCTTTTGTGCATATTTTTATGAATTGTTTTTTGTTTTATACTGTTGCGCAATTCTTTATAATTTATCACACAAATCTGCTTATAACAATTATATTTAACACGAACCTTTATCTCAACACAACACTACTTAGGCCTTATACATAACCTTCTTACAATCATTGTAATTCAACACGATCCTTTATTTCAACACATAGGCCTTATATGTATATTATCATTCAACATAAACGATCCATACTTATCAAATATATTCCAAAACCGATAATGTCACAATATTCACTATACATATAATAAAAAATTCCATAAGTACGGATCCTCACAACAGCACAATACGACTTCGATCTAGAAGTATATCAATAAATTCCAAAACTATATACGGCTTCCAGAACTATAATTATCCAGTAGTATGTACAAAACATCACAACAACACAAATCTCCGATCAAAAGACATAAAGACAATCTACCTTATAGAATTCTCATCTCAAGAATGTATTGACACCATTCCTCCTTAATTTCTTCCAATTTTTCTTTCGAGTAAGTGCCACACTTGAATTCATCAAAGTACTACATAATATAACATAACATGTATGATTTAGTTAAAACTAATTACTTAGATGAAATGCCGGTTAAATATTAATATAAATCATATAACTTATAAATCCATACCATGTTTGGAATCTCTATTTGGCCCGAATGAATAATTTCCTTCATAAACCTCAATACAAAATAGCCGCAATCAATACCATTGCGCTAACGAGGACACTACACATGAAAAAAAAATACGAATACATATCAGGATATATAGTTTAACTAGTTTTAGCAAACAAAATCACTATAATAATCAAAACTGTGAAAATATACCTGCACTCTGATCCAATTAATGTTGTTAGCCTTACTCTTTGGTACTCTTGCTTGTCTTGGTGATCGAAATATTTGTATAGCTCTAAACATAATATAAACAAATATTTATAGCAATTTCACATAATAAATAAAGATATACATGAATTATTCAGAACAATCTCATCACTTACGTATCAACCATCTTCTTCATATCAGGATATTTTGTTTGATCCCCATCAAATGAATCCAAATATTACACAATTTCTTTTATCAGATTAATCGCGACCAACAACCAGTGTCCACTGTAAAATAAGACAAAATTTTAAATGAAAATGTTATAGAGAATGTTTAAAAAGAATAATTATAATAAATGAAATTAGAATGAAATCTAACCCATGGCCAATATTATATGAAAAAAATACAACTTTTCTGTATCCGTGGCCATAAATGCTCGGACTACGTAATCTCTGACTGCATCTGGATTGTGTTCGATTAACCGTGCGTTGATACAACTAGAAGATAAGAATGAGAACGTTTCTGTCAATTGATGCGGGACCAACAACCTTTCATACAAGAACCTTAAATAAAAACATAAACAACATTAGGATTAATATTAGTTGTAATGAGCAAATAAATTGATCAATCATATATTTAATTAAAATTGATCGGAATACCTGATGTATGAATGAATAACACCGATGC